CGTCCCTCAACGACCCTCCTCAGCCTTTCCCATTTAAGTGCTCCTCCCCCGCCCTCCCGGCCCTCGTAGCGCCCAGCCCCAGCCCCAGACCCAGCCCCAGCCCCAGCCCCCACTCTCCACATCGATGCAACACCTAAAAATGACATCAATACCCCTGCTCCTGGCCGTCCTCGCCCTCTCCGTCCGCGTCCTGGCTGCCGCCCCTCATCCGCTTCTCGCCCCCGCCCAGGCCGTGCTCTCTGCCAACTGGGTGTCCGACATGAACTCCACCCTCCCTTCGCCGAGCCTGTACCCGCACCAGTGGTCGTGGGACTCGGCCTTCGTCGCCATAGGCTACTCGCACTACGACACCCCGCGCGCCATTGCCGAACTCCACGCCCTGTTCCGCGCCCAGTGGGCCAACGGCCTCCTGCCGCACATCGTCTTCAACCCGGCCACGGACGAGTCCTACTTCCCCGGCCCGTCCTTCTGGAACACCCATCGCTCCCCGCACGCCCCGCCGGCCGCCGCCACCTCGGGCATCGTCCAGCCCCCCGTGCACGCCATCGCCTCGCTCGCCGTGTACCACAACGCCAAGGGCCCCCACATGAAAGCCCTCGCCCACCGCCATTTGACCTCGATCTACCCGAACCTCGTCGCCTGGCACCGCTACTTGTACGCAGAGCGCGACCCGCTGCAGGAGGGGCTCGTCTTCCTGCGCCATATGTGGGAGAGCGGCATGGACAACTCGCCCGCCTGGGACGAACCTCTTGCTGCTATGCATGTCACACCCGACGCCATCCCCACCTACTCGCGTGTTGACAAAGGCAAGGTCGCCCACGCAAAGGAAAGGCCCACCTCCTTCTTCTACGACCGCGCCGTCTATCTCATCAAGATTTTTTACGATAATGCTTACGATGAGAAGGCCATCTTTGAGAAGAGCCCGTTTTTGGTTCAGGACGTCTTGTTCAACTCCATTTTGAGCCGCGCCGGCATGGCCCTCGCGGAGATTGCCGACATTCTGCACAAGAACGAAGAGGCGGACGCCCATCGCCAGAGAGCCGAGAAGACGGCGAAGGCTATCACGGACAAACTTTACGATCCCGTTGACAAGTTTTACTACAACTATAACATGGTGACCAAAAAGCTCATCCGGAGAAAGATCAGCGGCGGTTTTGGCGCTTTCTACGGCGCCAACATGGACGACGAGCATGTCAATGCCCTTATCGACCACTTGTACTCTCCGGATTTCTTGGAGCACGACCTGTACGCCTGGACGATTCCGTCTGTTGCCAAGACAGATCCGAGCTACACTAACTCTACTTACTGGAAGGGCCCGGCTTGGTTGAACATCAACTATATCGTCCGAGAGGGACTTTTGGCAAATGCAGCTGGCAACCGCGACGCGGTGAGGATTGCCGCCTATTTGAAAGAGCGCAGTATGGAAATGATCGAAAAGTCCGGCTTCTACGAATACTTCAACCCGATCTCTGGCTCGCCGCATGGCGGTCACCAGTTCAGCTGGTCCGCCGCTCTCATTATAGACTGGATCTGCACGACAAACCGTTCGTATGGAGAGCGCCTAACCACTAAGGACCAAGGTGACCCTGTGTCCCTCCTCGGTGGCAATAACGCCTTCTATGCCGTCCTGACAGCTGCAGTGGCCAGTATCATCGTCGCTATCATGAATAGAAGCAGTCCCACTTATGGCAAGCAAAGAAAAGATGACGCAGATATTTTACAAGTGCTCCGAGCTGCAAACAAGAAAGCTCGCGCCGATGCTACTCCCGGCAACGGGTCAATGTCCGCGCGCCGCCGAAATACTGTTCCCAAGGCTCGCCGTTCATCGTGAATTTCTCCAATGATTAGGAAGAACATGTCCCATTCGTGCTCTCGTCAACTCCGTTTCTTTTTTATCATGCAGGAATAGTCGCGCTGCCCTTTTGCGCGACTCCACGTAGAGGTCTGAGTCCATTCAGACTCTCGGACCTCAACCTCACTTTTCTCTATTGCCATATGTTGTTTTATCTTTGACACAATCCTATCGCCGCATTGAAGCTGCATTGCTTCCTCTAGCCCCGGCAGCGAGTATTTTCTTGCGCCTCGGCCCCGTTTTGCTTTACACCGTGAAAGCGGATATGCAGCAAATGCCGGCTTGTGTGGGTTGTTCTCACTCGTCTTGTTACCCTTTGAAAGTTTGCCTATGTTTCTATCCCATTTGCAGAGCTTCCACGAATACATGACATGGAAGTCTCCACGATTAAAAGCTCGAGTAGGAGCGCGACAGTCCAGTGCGGCCATGCCCCATAGCTCATCGAGCACCGAACACTCCTGCACCACCATTCGCGACTACATTTGACGCATGACAGATGAAATATCCCTGTTTGCGCTCCATCACTGTACACTGCAATCAAATTCAACTGTCAACGGTAATGCAATATCACCTGGCGACCGCTGCAGGCTCTGTCTTCAGGCAAGTTGTTGTCTAACATAATCATCCGCGCAGCGTCAACTGGCGCTTGCAGAAACATCACTGTTCTCTCTATGTCAAGACCTGAGTATTGCATTCATTCCGCTGAATCAAGCATATGCTGGTATCTATCTGACGAGGAGAAAATCTACAAATTCAAACCCATTCGCAATTTTTTCGCCCTGACAATCAACCCAAAAATGCAGAAACTAAAAAGTAGTGCATTGCACATGCGCCGCAAATGCAGTTTCGAAACCGAAATTCGCAAAAAAAAGTGCTAGGACCATATTCGAAACAGGAATTCCGAAGAGAGGTAGACGGTTGGTGGACCTCGGAAATCTCTGAAAACATCCTCAAAAAGGGCGATAGTTGGCATATCGTCTCACGGATTTTTTAGGTGCTTGACCTGTGTACATACAGCAAAAGCCTATAGCTGCAGAAATCTTGACAGAATGACACTGCAAGTACCGGTACCTGCAGGGTTTCTTGCAGCATCGGTGGAAATGAATGTAATGGTTCGCACCAACTGTGCAAGCACAGTGTGCATGCTTGTCGACGTATTGTCGACGTATGATGGGTGTACATCCAGTATGCGAGTCCATCATCTTGTGGCGCAAAAAAAAAAAAAAAAAAAAAACAGAGCAATTCTGAGAGGCGAGAGAGAGTCGCGGCTATACCTGAACACAAAATACGTGGAAGTCGAATTCCGTCGGTTGTTGACAAGGCGCTGTTGACATCAACAGCGCGCCTTGAATTGTGGGAATGTTTTTCGTGGCCACTTCTATGTCAGGGTCTTGTTACCATAGACATTCGAGCGGTATCTACTGCAAGATTACTGCAAGGACTATGTCCGGAAACGTCTCCCCTTCCAAGGACGTAGGAGAGACATGGCCGATGTGTTGGACACGACGCAGCCTAATCCTCCTGGTCCTCTTGGAACAAAGTCGAAACCTTTGGTTGGCTCTCAGTTTCTGAATCCCAGCTTCTGACCCAGCTTTTGAACCGCAAGATGCAGTGTCTATCGGACCGTTAGTCCTCACATAAGGACAAAGGTTAAGGGTGAGGCACTTGCTTGTCGATTCTAGCGAAAACGAACTCTCATTGGTGCACATAAAAATGTTCCAAGGAAAAGTTCTACTTACAGTCTTCAGAATCAACCTACCTAAAAATAGAAACCATGGACATCAAAGCTGAAAAGAAATAGAATTAGGTGATTTTAATGATCCGATAACGCATAAAATTTGTCAGCTGTGTCTCCACCTGCTGTACCACGAAGGCAACTGGGCTACAGTGGCTATCAGGGAACGCGGCAGTTCGATAGATGCAATGCAGTAGTTTCTTTACCACTTGAGCGGTCTATGAAATTGCTTATGTCCTTCCTCCGACCTTTGGCCATTTTCCCACACTTATATAGATTTTTCGAACACGCAAACTTATGGTAAAAACGCAGGAACATCTCTGGAAATCTCTAATGGTTCTTCCCTTCATGAGGGCTCAATTATGAGCAGTTTTCATAAGGTCTATCAATCAAATAGAAGATAATAGAGGGTTTACGCATAACGAATTCTGCAATGATTTGTCCAAAATTCTGCAATACGTATTACAGGTGTCAACAAAAACAGAACCTCTGCAGCACAGTATTGCGTTTCATTGCCTAAAATCGACTACACTAATCACTGTATTTAATTTGGATTTCTATATACTCTGGATTCGAAAATAAACTGGTCCAGATTAATTGCGGTTTTGTATCTCGGCGCTCTTATCATATCGCTTGGCGCCGGCGCGGGGCATTTCTCCAAAAATACAAAAAACGATGTGCGGATCTGCCATGAACCACAGTCTCGTCAGCGTATGGCAAAGAGTGCAGGCACGAGATTCTGACATTTCCCATCCCCGTCCACCATTGTTCCAACTATAATCAGCACAAAATGCCGACCACTGGACCCATTGAACGAGATCTGGCTGTCAGAGTAACTGACTAGCCGAGTAGTCACTTTAATTAGCTTATCATTATCAATTCAGGTTAAACTATGTAGGCTACATTTAGCTATCAACAATAGAGTCCCTTAAGGATGTGCCACCTACAATTCTACCTGTTCAGGGTGTAACCGTTCAAAGACATTTTATGGGTGGCGCAACTTCCCTTTTATGGTAGTGCGCCTACTGTTATTGTAGAGTCAATAGGACTATAAAGCCAGGTCGAAGACGCTACTCGTCTT